CATGCGCGGCGGCAGCGGCCGCCGCCATGGCAGCAGCGGGGGCCTCTGGCACCGCCGCCGCTAGAGGCGTCGCGCCTGAGACGGGGGCGAGGAGCGGAAGCCAGCCTGCCAGAAGGCGACGGCAACCCGCGGGCGAAGGCGCGGCGACGACTGCCCGACGGAGAGGAGCAGAACCAGCAGCAGAAGCAGCAGCAGCAGCAGCAGCAGCAGCAGAAGCCGCAGCCGCAGCCGCAGCCTGAAGGGGCCGAGGAGGTAGCAGGAAGTGGGCCAGCCACGTGCCCTCCCTCGAGTTCGGCGGCGGCGGAAGGCGCTGAGACGGTGAAACCACGCCTGCACGTGGTGAGGGCGGCGCACCGCTACGTGGTCGCGCGCGGACCGCAGTCATTGCGCGAGGTGGCGCACCGAACGCCTGGCCAGACAGTTCCTGAGGTGGCCAGCCAATCCCAACAGGTCGGACAAGGACAGGCCTTTGCTGGCCGATCGCATGTTGCGAGGCGTCCACCCGAAGCTGAACGAGAGCCTGGTTGTTGAGGTAGGGTGATTATGCACTCAACAATGAGACCTCTCGCAAGCGTCATTATCACGGAGATAATATGACGCTGCGCGTCCGTACGTGGTTCCATCTGCGCGTTGACATATATGTGGTGCAAACTATGTGGCGCAATATTTGCGGCGCAATTCACCCTGCCGAAATTGAAGTTGTCACGCTCGCGCAATCATCCCACCCACCCACCCACCCACCCACCCACCCACCCATAATTTGTTTGCAAAACCTATGCGACGGCGATTGCGATGACTGCTTGACGCTGGCTGGTGCATCGCCGCGGCACCGCTAGCGCGCGTATGCTCGTGCGCGCAGAGCGGCCGGCTAGTTTGGCGCGATCGACGCGGCCGCGGTGGCGCCGACCGCCGGGAACTTGTCAGCTCTTCTCTCAGGCCGCGCTGTCGGCGGGCACTTCAGTTCGAGTAGATGGCCCAGGCGGGCGCGGTAGTATGGCGACGTCGACAACGGCAGACGCGAGGATGATTGTAATGATGTTGGATACGACGATGACAATGTCGACGGCAAGGCCAATGGCGGCGCCGTTGCCGATCACGCCGATCACGCCGATGACGATGAAGGTGTCCACGTGTCGGCGATGAAGGTCCAGGAGGGATTTCGACGTGCGCGCGCGGCCGATGGGCGCGACAGGCCCGCATGGCACTATTTGGCAAGGGTCGCTCCCGCCCCCCAGCAAACGCGCACATGCGTTCGAGTGATTTCGGCACGCTCGCGTGAGATGCACCGTTGGTCGCATTTGATACGAATTCTCTGTTGTACGACAGTTGAAAGCACGTCGTTTTTTTGTTCGCAAAGCTTCGCAAGAAAGGGCGCGCAGATTAATTTGACAAGCCGCGTCGCAAAAGCACATGGGTCGGTCCAAATGTTTCGGGAACGTCGACCTTGACATCCCTGCGACACCCATTCTGTGAACAAGCTACATGCGCGGGCGATGAAGCGCGCGTGTGAACTTTGTCATAACTATTGCGCGGGATTCTTGAGAATTGGTGGTTTTGATAAACGAGTGCGCGTGCATTGTATTCTGTTGTCCGGGATTGCGCGTGCATTGTATTCTGATGTCCTTGTCCGAATGAGCGATGGGACAAGGACATATGTAAATAGCACCACCTTCGGGAGGACGGATAATCACGTTTGGGGGGGTAGAGGGAGAATCTATGTGAGGCGGAGGCGGGGCGGCGACATTGGCGACGGGTCGGCGACGGCGGGCACGGAACCGCGAGGCCGACAACCCCACCCCAGGCGACGGGCGGCGGCGACGGGGCGGCGACGGCGGTCACTGAACCGTTGGACCGACTTCCCCCCAGTTCTTCAGAACGTAATTCAGAGCCCCGAGTGCAAGTACAGTTTGGGGAAGCGGGCGTCGTAGCCTTCAATCTTCCTCGCAGCCAGTGCCCCAGACCTGATCTTTCTGCGCCATCTCCCGAGGCGGACCCAACCATGAGGATACTGGAGGCCAACGCAACAAGAAGAGGTTCCCAGTGAAACCACTGCCACGCCAGGATCTGATGGTCATCGAGGCCCTCACTGCTTCTCGCGAGTTCGACCTCCCAGAAGCTGTGTCCTAAACCAGCCTGCGCCCCCTGGGCCGCTGCCTCCTGGCGCGCGTCGCGGCCGCGCTGCCGCGGGGCGCCCGAGCCTCGCTGGAGGCCTGCGCGCGGCTTTCCACGGCGCTTTTGAATGAGATCCCGTGAGGCGTTTCTTTCCGTTCCGGTTGCGCCTGGCAGCAAAGGCAGACCGACGACAGAACGAGACAAACATTGTTTAGTGAAGGGGAGACTTGGAAGAAGGAGGCGGAGGTGGAGGAGGGGGAGGAAGTGGCGGAGGAGGAGGGGGAGCAAGAGGAGGAGGCGGATGAGGAGGAGGAGGAGGAGGAGGAGGAGGGGAGCAAGAGGAGGAGGCGGATGAGAGGAGGAGGAGGAGAGGAGGAGGAGGAGGAGA